CATTTCCTTCTTCCCCCCAGCTCAGCTGCAGGACACTCTGGCACGCACTTCGGCACTGCCTGCGCCACAACCTCCACACTCTGCGTCTCCGTGGCACTCTGCGTACCGCCAGCAGACACCGCCTGCTGTCCCCAGCTCTGCTCTCCGCCCTGACCACGCGCTGTCCTCACCTCCAACACCTCTCCCTGACCGAAGCCGACCTCCATACGCTGCCTTACGACAGCCTCCCCCCATCCCTCATCGTTCTGGAGCTGCGTTGCTGTGAAATCCCCTCGCTGTGGTTCTCCGGATCCGCCGCCCCGCGCCTGCAGCGCCTCGAGCTCCACAACGTCCCCGCTTTCTCCGACCGCCACCTCCTGAACGTCTCCTCCCATGGCCACCTGAGGATGCTGAGCCTTTCGGGGACGTACCGCGTGACGGATACGGGGATGGAGAGGGCAGCTCCACACCTGGAGGAGTTAGAACGCCTGGAGCTGCGGCACTGCGTCCTGACGGACTCAGCCCTTCACTTCATCGCCCGCCACATGAAACTCCGTGTCCTGGAGATCACCTCCGTTCCCCACCTGACAGATTTGGGGTTGGCTTCCTTAGCGACCTTGGAGCGCCTGGAGACGCTGCACCTCGATCTGTACAACAAATTCTCCCTCCGTGCTGTCGCCGCGTTGTGCCGAGCTCTGCCCCGGCTGCGGAGCCTCACGTTGGATGGGGTTCACTCTGAGGATGAAACCGTGGGTGAAATTCGGGCGGGTGTGCCGTGCTGCAGCTTCACACCTCCTCCCTGACCCCCAGACTTAAATCCAGGCGAGAGCTGCAGTTTGAGGGCTTCACTTCATCCCTTCCCAAGTGCTACTGTATGGGGGAAGGCTTTTTCCACTTCTTTTTGGAGGAGATTTGGAGGAGGACTGCAGCAGTCATGAGCTGCACCATGGGGTTGGTTGCAAACTGGGCTTTCTCTTCTACCACGAATCAGGAAAGATGGTGAGCACTGAATTTTGGCTCCTGAGCGAGCAGAGGGAGGGTGGGCAGAACTGATGGTGTCTTTGGGACCAAAATGAAACCTTTCTCTGCTCCTCTTCCTCCAGCTGAGCTCCAGAGCTCCAGTTAATGCCTGACTGGGATTGCATCACTGAACAACCGCCGCAGCGCTGCCTGGAAGAGTTGGGGCGATCTGCCCTGCGTGTTGTTGTTGTCACAGTCCAGCTGTTGCATCACCTTTTCCTTTCCTTCACCTTTTGGTGTCAGTAGGGACTTTTCTTGGTCCGAATCATTCAGGCCCAATGCAGGTGTTGCTCCTCAGAGCAGCTGCGTTGCGTTGTCGCAGTGTTGTTATCGCAGCTGTAGCGTTGTGATGTCTTCTGGAGGACCCAAACATATTTGATATTGTATGCATTCAATAAAAAATAGCTCTATTTAACACCTGCAGAGCTTTAATTGAACTGAGCCAAACGAAGTCCGGCGTGCTTGGATATGAACACCACCACCAGGAGCCAGAAAACCCCACAGGGAAACCCATGGATTTGTGTTTTCCCCCCTCTGCCCCACATATAGCTGTGGGTTGTGCAACGAGACACAAAAATTCAGACAGACCTGGAGGGCAGCGACCCCTGTGATGAAATCCCATCGCCCCACAGCACCTCGGCCTCGTTCTGCTCCTCTGTTCTTATGCACAAACAGTCTGAGCGTGGCTCTGGGGCAAATAAACAGTGGGAAATGCCCCAGTTCTGCTTGGAAAGGTTCCCAAGGCTGCCAGCTTCATAACTGCTCTGTGCTTACACACAGAAATTGAAGATGGAGTAATTAAGTGTAATTAAGCTCGGTCCCGGTACTCTCTGGGCTCGGAGGATGGAGGTAAAGCGACGAAAGGGAAAATTAAATGAGCCCAAATTGGGCTTCCAGCCTCGAGTGGGGAATGGAGATACGGGGTGAAACTGGGAATAATGAAGCAGAGGAGTCGTCTGAAGTCATTCATGGAATTGAGTGATGCATTTCTATTCATCCATTGATTTTGTGATCATTTTGTTCCCTTGATGCCAAATCTGCCCCATTTTTCGATGCAGAATTCCTAAATGTAGAGCAGCAAAATGCAGTAGATTGCAAAATGGGCTTCCAATCTCAAGTGGGGAATGGAGATAGGAGGTGACTGTAGGAAGAATGGAAGGGAGAGGTCCTCCAAAGTCACCCGTGGATTCGTGTGATTTGTTTGTATTCATTCCTCCATCGATTCTATGATCATTTTGTTCCCTTGATGCCAATCTGCCCCCCATTTTCTGATGCAGAATTAAGTATGGAACGACACGACACAGCAGATTGCAGAATGGGCTTCAACCTCGAGTGGGGTGAATGTGGGGACAACGGAGTGGAAGGGTCCTACAAAGTCATCCGTGGATTCGTTTGTGCTCACTCATTCATCGATCCATCCATCCCATCAACACCCAGGTATCGCCCCACCTCATCCTCACGTATCCAGTGAAGCATCTGAGCTGATTCTGGGGAGGTTCTTCTGCACCTCAGTAGCTTTTAGGGGGCAGTTTTGGGGACTTCTTCTCATTTCCAGTCCCCATTTACTCCAACGTGTAACAGCTTTGATTTATTCCTTCCCCCTCCCAACCCAACCTGGAGTTGTGCTCATATCGTGAAATCAAAGCCCGACAACAGCCTGAAAATCACACAGAAAAAAAACACCTGAAACCTAAAAACAGAGAAAACGGTCCCAAGAAGGGACCTGGAGAATCCTAAAGTCATTGGTGGATGCTTTGTTATCAGACAACTCCTCCTATCCCCCAAAACCAGCCCCCATTTCCCAGAGCGGTGCCTCCATCCCCTTCTTTTGCAGAGAAGAGCGTTGGAAATTCAGCCATTAGTCCATGAAAATAAAAGAAGAAAATGAAGAAAAAGAAGAGGAAGGCATTGGACTGAAAATGGGAATCCACAAAACTCCACCCCCCACCTCCCAGAGGAACAGAAACGACTGGCGATTCAAAGTGCTCTTTTTAGGACTGGGAGCCAAAAGGGGACGGCCCCAAAAATCCGCATCGCGGTGACCTTCGGACTCAGCCCTGGTTGTTGTGTCGTGTTGAGGTTCTGATCTCTGAAGTTCTGCTCCCTGTGCTCCCAAAGCCACCCCAACTCCGCTGCGATGGATGAGGAGCAGCTCAGCGACAACGTGCGGCTCTATAAAGGTACGCGGAGCGCCGCCGGGGGACGCAGCACGAAGGAGAGAGGCAGGAAAGCTTGGAAGTCTCATCCTGACCCTAAAACCTTCATCCTGGCCCTAAAACCCTCATCCTGACCCTTAAAAGTCTCATTCGGACCCGAAAATTCACATCCTGGCCCCAAAATTTTCATCCTAACCCTGAAAGTCTCGTCCTGACCCCATAATTCTCGTCCTGGCCCCAAAAGTCTCATTCTGACCCTAAAATCTTCATCCCGGCCATAAAATTCTCATCCTGGCCCCAAAATTCTCATCCTGGCCCCAACAGTTTCATTCTAACCCTGAAAGTCTCATCCTGATCCTAAAATCCTCATCCTGACCCTAAAATCCTCATCTTTACCTAAAATTCTCATCTTAACCCTGGAAGTCTAATTCTGACCCCATAATTCTCATCCTGGCCCCAAAATTCTCTTTCTAGCCCTGAAAGTCTCATCCTGGCCCCACAAGTCTCATTCTGAGCCTAAAATCCTCATCCTGGCCATAAAATTCTCATCCTGGCCCCAACAGTCTCATTCTAACCCTGAAAGTCTCATTCTAACCCTAAAATTCTCATCTTGACCCTGAAAGTCTCATCCTGACCCCATAAGTCTCACTCTATCCCTGAAATTATCATACTGGCCCAAAATTCTCATTCTGACCCCATAAGTCTCATCCTGGTCCTAAAATTCTCTTTCTAATCCTGAAATTCTCATCCTGGCCCTAAAATTTTATTCTGACCCCAAAATTCTCATTCTAACCCTGAAATTCTCATCTTGACCTAAAATTCTCATCCTGACTCCGAAAGTCACATCCTGAGCCCCTAATTCTCATCATGATCCTAAAATTCACATTCTGACCCTACAGTTCTCATCCTGACCCTAAAATCCTCATTTTTACCTAAAATTCTCATCCTAACCCCGAAAGTCTCATCCTGGCCCTAAAATTCTCATCCTAACCCTAAAACCCTGAAAAAACCCCAAACCCCCTAAAAATGCTAATTCTGACCCTAAAATATTAATCCTAGCCTCAATATGCTCATCCTGACCCTAAAATGTGAACCCTGACCCAAAAATGCCTATCCTGACCCCAGAATTCAGACCCCAAAATGCTCATCCTGACCCTAAAATGTGAACCCTGACCCCAAAAACTCTCATCCTGACCCCCAAATTAAACCCAAAAACGCTCACCCGGACCCCAAAATTCAGACCCCAAAATGCTCATCTAGACCCAAAAATGCTCATCCTGACCCAACAACGTGAACCCTGACCCCAAAACCTCTCATCCTGACCCCAAAATTACACCTAAAAATGCTCATCCTGAACCCAAAATTTGAACCCCAAAATGTTCATCCTGAACCAAAAACGCTCATCCTGACCCCAAAATGCTCATTCTGACCCAAAAATGTGCACCCTGACCCCAAAACCTCTCATCCTGACCCAAAATTAAACCTAAAAATGCTCATCCTGACCCCAGAATTCAAACCCTAAAACGTTCATCATGACCCCAAAATTTGAACCCCAAAATGTTCATCCTGAACCAAAAACGCTCATCGTGACTCCAAAATTCAGACCCCAAAATGCTCATCCTGACCCCAAAATCCTCATTCTGACCCTAAAACCTGAACCCTG